AGCTTCTTTATACATTATACTATCGCACTACAAAAGGACTTTTGAATTTTTTTTATATTTTTAAAAAATTTCGAACGGCAAAGAAACAGGGAAATAACGAAACAAATTTATTCGAACAGCCGAAGTGTGGGAAATTTTTTTTTCCCAAAATCCTCTCGTAGTGCTATAACTACGTTCTTCCTCTGTAAGGATCACTCAACAATTTCCATTACGGGTTACTGAAAGAAAGAGTTATTCCAAAAAAGTTTTAATTCTAATCGATCACTTATTTTACCCTTTTCAAGATATTAGAATAAAAATTAAGAGCTTGGCGTAAAGATTATCTTTTTCATATAATTCTGGTTAGTATACATACATATATGAAATATAAGCCAGAGTGGTAATACTTTTGCTTAACATTCTAACAATAAAGAGTAAATAATATAGTGAATATATGTACATAATATATGTCTGTGATAAAATCAAATAATCAATTTAAATGTAAACGCTTTGCACTTACTCGCCACTTTTGTTTCGTAACAACGAGCGCTTTTGGTCAGCATCAACAACATCAAGAGTTGTGCTCAAAAGACCATCGAAAAACTCCTCGTTCAACAATCGCAAATGTTTTTTCAAGCTATTACTATGCTTTCAAAGCAAACACAAATAGAATTCACTTATACATATATACACGTACGTATATACGCATTAATAAAATTAGAAAAGCTGCACTGATAAATAACACACACACCCCCACGCATTAGTACATGCACTTTCGTATGTAATTGTGTAAATATTTGCGCACATGCACACACATGCGCACGCTTACACACCGACAATTGTCTACAGCAATTTTTAGTGCAATCGCTTTATTTGCGCAACACTCGACTGCGGTGCACCACATTAAAACGTCACATCGACCCCGCAGCCCACCGAACAGCATCGCATCACACTAATGTGAACGTTAATGCACGTCAAAGTGGTAAATACTCCAACGAATGGCTTTCGATATGACTCCAGCTTTGACTTTATCGCATGTCTGACTTTACTTGTGTGTGTATGGTAGGTGTGCTTGGATAAACCTGCCATCTACTCTTTGGTTGTTTTGAGTTCACTTTTGTGTTGGTTTTGCTTTGCTTTGACAATCGGGCGATCGCTTTACAATGCTGCTCCTTTGCGTCTCTTTTACTGCTACGGTTTAAACTGCAATTTAACGAAGAACTTGTTGTCAGCAAACGCATCGCTTTATTTTATTGAGAGAGCAAATTGTGGATACTCTCCTACGATATTTGATATTAAGTTTTGGACTTGAAAACTGGATTTCGCATATGATTGCTGAGCACATGCGGATGCTTTTTCTATTGGGAATTCAATTGAAAATAGTGTTACAAATTTAATTTATTATTAAGGAACAGCGTTCGAATCCATGACGCGACTAAAATGAATTTTCATTTTCTATTGAGCAAACAAACATTGGATAACGACATATATTTTGTGTCGTCGTTATTGAGTTCTTGCAGCTATTTTAATTTCCTTGTTGAACATACGACTCTACCCAATAAACCAGAACGGTATCAGGCATAATACCTATATACAACTAATGTATAACTTTCTCCGATGAGAAGGTTAAAGGAAAGACCCTACGCCAAAAAGCTATACTCTATATATCAGCCACCAAGTCTGCAACGCTTTGTTTGTTCAAAATCATTGAAAACCGAACGACTTAAACTTTCATTCGGTGAAAAAATTTGATGTATATTTTTTGCCTTTTCCCACCGTTTATGGCCATGTAAAGGGTGTGCTATGGCAGGATATCAGACACCGCAGAGTTGCATTGTCTGCCATTGCCATTGGCAGATGAATTGCAATATTATTATGCATGAAGATATATTTATGGTCGCATGTCCACAGTCTACTACATATGTAAATACATTTATATATACATGCATCAGTATATACGATTATGTGTATTTTATGCGTTATCTGGTTGAAAAAGTATGTGCTCAGGAGTGCAGTGGCTCGACGGTTGAGTGCAATGGGACACTGTCCGTTGCATTGCACAAATTTGAGGAATTTCAATTTGATGTTGGATAATTTTCATATTGGCGTGGAAAGCGTTCAAACAGCAAGCGGGAGCGAAAAAATAAATGGCTGTGTGCGTGCCAATTACGCGCAACTTTTACCTGCACGGTTGTGCGATAAACTTACTGCATGTGGATGCTTTACGCCTTCGAAGTCGTGAGCTTCAGATTTTATCACAAATTGCAAATTTTATTCGCGGCAATGCAACAATTTTGCGGTGAAAATATAAACAATTCGCTGGGAGCAATTTAAGCAGCGGCAGGGCATGGCCAACCGACAAGTTAGTAGCAACGGTACGACAACAACAACGGCAGCGACCACAACCGACAGTGTCTCAATGCCACTACAGCACAATAAACATGCGCGCAGGAACTTGCCGCCAAAGTGTGAAGTTCATACATGATGGGCGTGTGTGTGCGTGTATGTGTGTCGTCACTCGGATACATGTGGATATGCATGTTTGTTTAAAATGTAATGTAAGCGCCACCAGCTGAATTACCCAACAGCACGGTTTCCGCCGTTCGTGCAACTTTCAGCAACTCAAAATGCAATGGTAATGCCACGACCCCACTGCCGCCGCATGGCGCTGAAACCGCAACGATAAAATCGATTGTCGCAATTTGCGGTCATCACCAAAAGTTGGATGAAATTTTATGACAGCGAAAGCAAGCGAATGAGGTGTGAAGCGTTGAGGTCGTATGGGCACACGCGGACCTATCGGTATATATACATTGATAATGAGTTCCGCGAACCAGCCTATATATATATGCACCCTGTAGGAAGCATCAGACTAGTCAGTATTTACACTATTATTATATATATTGCTGACCGAAATGTGGCAATGGCGCACCAGTCGCTTGCATGGTAAAGGACAATTGTTTAACTATTTGAGCTTGCGGTCTGTACCAGTTGTAATGTAATTGGCAACTTGATGCATCGTCTGCCGAGCCCTTAAGTGATACCCACTTACAAGTATGTATATCTTATGTAAAAAAGTATGGTTATGCTTAAATTTCTGTTTCCAAATCATTGAATTACGTTAAACGGTAATTGAAAAGAAAATTAATTATAACGAATTAGTAAAGTGAGATAAAGAGACCTGATTATGCTTAATGAGGAATGAAATTCCATTAAAAATTATGTTTATTAATTTTAATTTTATAACGAATATGTAAAAAGTACCTATATTGTTTGCTATTAAGGTATGAGAAGTTTTCATAACGCAGTACGGTATGACAATTGCGTGAAATAAACATTGAAGCGCAACGCTCAAGCGAAGGCGAAATGTAATTCCATCAATCTCACTGCTAATCACGTCCTGAGGCACAAATAAATATTTATTGACTCAATTATTGCACTCGCGGTTGTTGAATATGAATGGCTCTGCGGCAGAGAAATGAAGTCAATTGGGGGGTCAGCAGATCAATCGCATTTTCCAGTTACACACCGACCTTTGTTATGCGGTTTGCCATGGCGAATGAGTAAAATAGAAGATGCTTTGTGCATCGAATCTTTTCGCCTGCACTTTAATAGTCGCGTTTGATCTGCGGCTCATGTGTAGTTTGGATTTGCAATCAGCGAATCAGGGTAATACTTCTTCCAATATTAATTAAGTAATTCATTTTTCGAAACGTTCGTTCGTTGAATGCTCATGAAAAATTCAATCTACAACTACTGATAGTCTTTGTGTATGTATTTCGAATATTCCTTGCTTTGCAACCAAAGCAACCAAAAAGTGATCACCGAGAAGTAACAGTAAGATAGTTAAGTGCTACTTGTCGATTTGCGGGGTTATGGCGAATTCAACACAGTAAAATTATGTTATCACAAGGGAAACTCTTCGGAAAACCACAATGGTTTATGGTGGCAAGGCATATACTTATGTAAAATAATGTTAGTTTTATAAAAGTAGTATGAAAATTTATACTTTACATTTTTCTTCGAAACTATATGGCTTTAGAAAAAGAAAAACAAGTTACGAATTAAAATTTATAATAAATGTATATATGTCAATAATAACACCAGTTAAGTGTTTATGGTATATTTGTACATGAGCTTACTTAAACTGTTAAAAAAAAACTACTTGATGATGTTAATTAATGTTAAAATAACAGATTTAAGCAGAGCGCGAAAATAATTTTCACTTTGAGTGGACAAAAAAAAAAGGTAGCAATAAATGCGTAAACACTTTAATAATGAAAAGTGTACTTTTTCAAATAAATGTTTAACTTTGCACGAACTCGCTGCCCACAACAATATCAAATTGCATTGTGGGTAAAAAACGTATTTCTGAGTTTTTTTTTTTAGCAATTAACCTATAAATGCAAGTAAAGTGAGAGTAATAAATATTATATATACGAAATATGTGAAATGCGTCTGCTTTAAGGCAAATAGAATTCAGCGCATAAAGTAAAATAAATACAAGCTTTAAATTTATGAACACCAAACGCTAAAGCTTTAAGAATATTTAAATTAAAAATACGTGAAAAGACTTCCTTGGTGTTGTACACTCTCAAAAAGTGCTCTATTCACCGAAAGGAAGTAAAATAAAATTTCAGGTTGAAGGCAAGAAAGTTTGCTTTTCGTGCTGCACCATTTGGTTTACAAGCATCGGGCGATAACCATAAATTAACTGGCGAAAGTTTATTAAAATCACAACCCAGCTGTCGAAATGATTAATCAAGATTAGCACTTTCAACTGCATTGACGCTAAGCGATACGGAGGAATACGGTAAGGCGTTACAGCATTTGGTGTGAAGTGAATTCGGCGAAAATATATGTGTATGCGTGGAAAAAACAAAAGTACTAGTATACACACAAATATAGCAACCTACAGTACTTTTGAAAAATTTGCACTCACAACGGAGAAAACACTCGAAAAAAGTCGCACTTTTTAAGGCTACAGTAAGACAAGCACAAAACGTTAGCAAATTACTTACTTATTTACTCGTTCGTTAGCAAATATTCTACCGATTTTTGTGCAGCAGGCTTTCTCATTCCGCATAATTTGGTTATAGTTTGCTCTATTTTCTATGTATTTGCACACGAGTGTTGCCCGCCATTACTTCGCTGCTGCTAGTCTTTCGTTCTGTAGTCATAAACAAAGTAGCATGCTGTGATGTATTTTTGAATAGCACAGCATTCAGCTCCAAAACCAACAAAAAGGGGACTTTAAAATGCTTTTCGTTTTCACTCGGCATTCTGGCGTTTTTAGCTTATCACGATGATTTTGAGGGTTTTCATTTTTGCTAAAATTTGCTGTGCTTTTGCTTCATCACGCTGCGTTGTTTCCAACACCAACTCACCTGTTTCGTGCAACTGACACCGTCGCTGGTTATGACTATATATAGTTAATGTTCAAATTATTTGCATACCTACATGTTTGTATATATAATATACATTTTGATATATTATTTCTTCGGCGTCACGAGCAATAAAATTTGACGCAGTCAGCTTCTTTTGTTGCTAGTACACTGGTACCGCCTCGCAACCCTTGGGTATGTTGTACATAACTAATTAGTTTAAATTCATTAAAAAGGGCTGGCATTCAATTTACTTTGCTCATCTGCTCGCACTCTCGCATCCCTGCGTGACCTTGTGACTTCATGCGACAACAATAAAAAATTCCTTGGGTTTTACATGCTAAGGATTCAGCATTTGGGTGCACGTAGTGCTTGTCGTCACCTTGCATCAGCTCCATAAATGTAAAAGCGTGCGTTGTGTAGATTTCTGAAAATGATAAATGACTTTGCTGGCAGCGTTGGCTAGGTATGTTGATGAAATTACAAGCAAAAAGTGTTTATAATTACGTTTTAAATTGAAGTCTGAAGTGCAAAGCCATGTGAAATAGAAAAGGAGAAAAATGCAGCAAATTTTTTATTTCTAATTCTTGGTTTTCGTCAGAAAACAGAGCTTCATTGCTAATTAAATTTTACTTGTTTAATGGCTAAATATTATGAAAGGTTTAAATGATGGGTATTATGGTATGCATACATGTGGGTTTCAGAATTACCCACTATAACTTACATACATATGTTCGTTTCGCTTATTGAATGAGTACTTACAGCGTTTTTAAATTGCGTATATTGAAATACAATAAGTTATTTGTTTTATATAAAAATGGATACATATATTATTGGTTATATTTAATTGAATTGAAAAATGAATGTGAGAGTACGATATAAAAAGCTAAAACAAGAAAAAACGTTAACTTCGGTTGCATCGAAGCTATAATACCGTACGTTCTGCTTATATGACAGCTATCTCAAAAACTGAGAGACTAGTTCGCGTATATACAGACCGACAGACGGACATGGCTAAATCAACTCAGCTCATCATGCTGATCATATATGTATATATTTTATAGGGCCTCCGACGTTTTCTTCTGGGTGTTACAAACTTCGTGGCAAACTCTGAATATACCCTGTTTAGGGTATAAAAACTGTAGTTTAAATCGTCGTTTCGCGGCACATGTCTTATGTCTTTGGCGACCGTCTTCAAATGCGCGTTTTGCTTGCCGCTCGTTGAACTCTTATCTTCTACAAACGGTTCTCACCTTAACCCTTTCACTCCCACATACATACACTTAACTAAATGTTATATATTCACTGAGAGCTGTTCTAAGTTTCATGTTATTCCTGTGGTGTTAAGATATAAGCGTCAATATAGTGCTGGTATATGTGTTATTATTTAGCATAATAAACAGTCAAGAATGCTTTGTGATTTATTAGCCAGCTTTGCTATTATTTTTGGTTGTTTGAATTGTAAGTAAATACCTGGATAGGGGATAATATTATTTTTACTTGGAAAGTGAACTGATTACATAATATTACAAGTATATGCTTAGGCGAGCTAATAACCTTGAGCTTATTTTATTAATAGTTTAATTTTATAATTTTACTCGCAAAATTTTGGATTTTGTCAAAATAATGTTTACTCACAATTTTCACTGCTGTTTGCCGCCAAAATTAAACGCAACTAATCTAATACTTTATATAATTATTGTATTTTCATGATTTAGCTAGAGAATTATTACTTTAAAACATTACACCCAGAGCTACCCAGTAAGGCTAGCAGATATACCGTGTAAGCCAGTCAGCTAGCACTACGAACTTACTCCACAAAATTGTTTCACAAATGTTGTACGTAAATTTGTAAACGCTTGTATATAGTACACATCACTGTAGTTGTTGAACAATTTTACAGCGTAGGGTACATGAGACCTGTATAAGGGAATGGCAACACCTGCTGTGCTTAACAATTCCGCTGTACAATACGAAACACAGAAAACTTTCATGTGTTATTTCATAAATGATTCGCTTGCGCTTTGAGCTCGCCTTCGTCGCGCCCCTCATTTGTGATTATGTCGCCACTGAGCGGGCGCAGCATGTGTTGAACTGTGGTAGCCGCTGAGTCCTCTGCGTTTCACGTGAAATTACTATCTTCTGTTGCGGAAAAACGAGTAGCCTGGAAATTCGCTCGTATCTAAACTAGTAATTTGCCCCAGCTGCACAGACAGCCATGGCGAAGCGCAAAATTTTTGAATTACAATAATAAAAGGCCCCAGTCAATTGCTGTTATTGAAATTTCAATTGAAATTACAAATGTACACGGGCACTACAACTCGAATAATACATGTGTAATTGTACACTTGCCCAGCTGCATACACATATGTAAGTGCATGTCGGTGTGTGTAACGTTTTATTAGTTGCGCGCCGCCTGCTGAAGGCCCATTGTGCGCGGGCGTAATTGCATGGAAAATATTTAGTGGGCACTTTACAAAGCCGTTAGGTCGAGTGCTGGGCGTACTTTTTGTGTTCGCCACAGCAAACACATGCGAACACACACACACATATGCGCTTTGTGCATTTTTATCACATATTTTTGAAATGCATACGAAGTCGTCTTACTCGCCTCTCGTGTCCACATCATCATCCACAGGTAGCACTGCACTTTTTTCACTTTTCCAACGATTTCACCTTTTGTTGTGGCATGTTGAAAGCGTTGGTCATGAAAGTCATGCGCACAACCACATGTGCCACATAGCTGATATATGTGTATAACGGAACATTTTTGTTTGTGACGCTCTGTCAGCAAGTTGCCTCTTATTACCTTGCAGTTTGGGGCAAGGCAAATGGCGCAGACTTTGAAATGAGATATGAGTTGAAGCTTAGGAAAAGTTTTCACTCGAACAAAAGGCGCCACAATTGTTGCTGAGTTGCTGGCAAGCTGTGTGATTGTGTGCCCGGTTTTGCGAATCGCTTACGTGTGTGGAAAAGGTGCATGCAATTTGTCCGTCGAACTCCGTGGGATGCCGTATAGTTTCCTGTGTTGGTTGGAAGGGCAGGAAGTTGCAATCAGTGCTCAACGTTTGCATATTGTAAGAATTTCACACATTGTTGAGTAAAAGCAAAGGTGTCACGCATGTAAGTAGAGTGCAAGTAAATATAATAAATGGAAACAGGAAACGAAAGCGAAAGTGATGCAAAGGCGCCTAGATTAGAATATTTCTAACACTTAAAGAAAGCTGTAGGAAAAGAAGGTGCGCTAAGGTGGTACAAAAGGCGCTTTCCAATATTATTTAACTGAAGGTATCAGCTGAATGAATAAGCTCAGCATTATCCATAAAATCCTGCTCTATATGTACATCTATAGAGCCAATGCAGTAGCCTTTTTTTATAATTTTCAAAAGCTCCAATTTTTTCATGTAGAGGCATCTGGAGCTTAAGCGTCGTAAAACAGCATAAAAACCTGCAATTATTTAACGAAAATAAACTAATCAAATTCAGCAGAGAAAATAAAGCAAATTTGCTTAAACTAATTTCCATGTCGACTGCTGTCCGCACGAAATTTCTTGCATTATACGCATACCAGTTGAGCTGAAATTACAGGTGCAAAAAGCTCAAGAGTTTCGCATTTTCACGTAATTTCCTGCTGAGGACAGAAAGCGGCGCGCTGTGTCCCGAACGCCTTACCTTGAATACAAATCAACGCTAATTAATTGTCACTTTTTTCCACGACGCCAATGCGGACGTGACAGCGAACAGCAAACAAAAACCAACCGGGCACTGAACAAAGAACAACAGCGCTGTGGCATTTGGGGCAGAACAAGAAAAACAGCAGGGGACAAAGTAACAACTGAATTGCTGCAGTTTGCAAGAAGATAAATGCATCCGCTGCGTTGTAAGCGGTCTCCCCGCAAACGCTGCGCCTTCTTTACCTAAGCTGGCTGGTTTTTGCTGTTGCAGCACGCCGTCCTTTCGCCTGTATTCGCCGCATTATACGCAATTTGCGAACTTGGCCGGTGGAAAAGTAGCAAGCGCAGTTGGAAAAATTTAAGAATTTCCAAAAACAAAAGCAACTGAATTCAGGAAATTGAAGAAACAAGTTGGGTGCTTGCGTAGTTGTTTATTTGTATGCTTGTGTAGGCAACTCATTTATACGGAAATTAAGTTGTTGTAAAAAATCCAATAAAGCAAACCAACAATGCAGAGAATAGTTGAGCATGCTCAACTAAATAAAATGTCTAATTGTTGCAGGAATTATACGAAATTAAGAAAAATATTTTCTTATTGTTGCAATTAGCGGTAATTTCGGTATTAACGAAGAAGAGGAGGCGATAAGCATTGCACGGTTCGTGTAGACAAACAAGAATGAATTGGATGAAACACAATTATTTACTCCAATAACTAATTAGCAATTTACACAGAAATGAAACTACTTTGCTGTAGAAAGTTTTGATGTGGTAAGACTGAAAACGAATTTTTAGAACTAGTTATTCTGTATAAGGTTTGAACGATTATTTTCATGTTGCAAACCGATTAATTATTTTTAAAATTATTTTTTAATTTTGTTGAAATATATCGTACCCCAACCGATACGTGTGGTAGTGTGGAGTCAATCAGTAGGGCTGTGGTAAGATTGCTGATTGATTGATATTAACAGTAACAAGAGTTCTACAAAGGTAAAATAAGTTGATGTCACTAAAAATTTTGTCAAAAGTAACCTAATATACCTTGCGGAGATCTCAAACACTCACCTTGAATCATTATAAGAGAGATATGTGTTTTTTTTTCATTTTGCTGCATTTTGTGTATATGCTTTGCGCTCCTTATATAATATTTTACCCAAAAAAAGGAAAACGTTTGAATACCACTGTAGTTGCGATTCCACAATTTAAGTATTTTTCTACTTTTGAGCTTCAGAATTCAAACTCTTTGTCGGTACACGGTACTTCCGGTTGTCAGTCCCAGCACAGTGCTCGCACGAAGCCTAAAAAGCGTAAAATAAGAAGTTAAAGTGAAACCCAACGAGGTGTGCGTGGCAGTCCTTTTGTCCTTATGCCAATGTTGTTGCTATTATTGCATTTGTTGTTGCTTGCATGTGTTGGAGCGGTGCACTGCAACAGATAATCAATTGTGCACAAAAGATAATTGCCAAGCAATTACATCTCTTCACCAGTGTGCACCTTCCACACTCGCACACACGAACACAAAACCGACAGCTGTAGTGTTTTACAACGAAGCACTGCCGCTGCCAACTCCGACGCGGTACTGCCGAGATTAATCATCACTCTCAAGCTTTACATCGTTGGAACACACTTTTATGCATGCACTTATGCAATATAGCTGTGCGTTTGAGTTGAAAAGTGAAGTAAGCAAGTAAAGTACCAACACAGTCAAAAACTCAGCTCAAATAGAGCATTTGCATGATGAAATTCTTATGTATACTTTAGTATTGTCTC